GCTCCAAAAAGGGTCAAATGGTAAAAAATTAACATATTCGTCTATTTTTGTTGCTTTAAGATATAAAATTCCCATTCCCCGATTGCCTCTTAAACCGAAACTCCCTGCAAATCGGGGAATTCCCCGCGAGTTGACAAGTGGAAGGATGCAGCTTGCTAATCACTTCGTACATGTCTTGGAAACCACAATTTGTGTGTATCCAGTCACATGCCGAAATTGTAACATTTTCCCCATTTTAATTGTAAATGTGTACACAGTTTTTGACTATGCTACATGGGTTCATCACCCGCACTTAATCTACCGGGGAAGACGCATACAATAGTTGCGTTCGCGCAGCTGTTAATTGTTCATGTTTAACCAAAACTTTCAGGTTTTTGCGTTCGCGTACGAGGGGAAACTGCTGGTTTCTGCTGGAAAAAATTTTGCGAACAGGAAAACAGCTGATCAAAAACAGCTGGTTTGAATTTACGCAAATTACAAATTTGAATTTGATGGTTTGCTNAAATTGAGAGAGCAAAGTGACATTTCATTTTGAGGGGAAACTGCTGGTTTCTGCTGGAAAAAATTTTGCCAACAGCAATTTGCCAACAGGAAAACAGCTGATCAAAAACAGCTGGTTTGAATTTACGCAAATTACAAATTTGAATTTGATGGTTTGCAATTTAAAAATGACAAAATGCGACTAATTAAACTTGTAAGAAGTAAGTCCCCTTTCAGACACGTCAAGTCTTGCTTTCAAGTCTGCTCGTTCGTTGGAGAAGGAGGTGGGAAGAAAGGGGAAGAGTACAGATACCTCCGTACCGTCAATTCGTTTCAAGTTTTCTTATTCTATTTTGATCTTTTCGTTGCTTCCCGTTTAAAGAACCAAGTAGTTTAATTCAATAAAACTTGATGCGTGTGGAAGCAAAGAGAAAACACAAAAGAGAATGCGATAAAAATTGCTTTCAAGACTTGACGTGTCTGAAAGGGGACTAAGTAGTTATTTGTTTAATCAATAAACTGTGCCAGGATACCATGAACCAAAAATACAAGATCACGTAAGAACGCGACGTTGTATTTGTAACTGGTTTTGAGAAAAAAGTTTGCGAAAGCGGGTTCGTCAGCTGAGCGTTTGTTTACATCACAAGCACCACTATTTTACACTTTTATTTAAGTAAAGAAGAGTTAATTCAACATGACAACACATTTTCAAGCATTTTATTGCATCATTTTACCTAAATTGTGCGCTTAAAGTGGCTGACAATAATTTTGGCTAATTTTGGTTTTCGCTGTTTTCTTTGCTTTGTTTACTTTTCGCTCGTTTTCCAGTGAAACAAGATGGCGTAGAACCCGCTAAAAAAATCGACTTTTTTCACTCTCTTGTTCTTACGTGATCTTGTGTCTTTCGTTCATGCCAGGATACCACTTTGTAATGAGTTTTCGTACGTTTTAAATTTTACACTTTTGAATGTTAACAAAAATTATATCACTTAACTTGCAAGTTTCTGCAAATTTTCTGTTCGCGTACTGTTTTGGATATTTTTCTCTTGTGAGAGAACTGGTGACATTTCGCCGGAATTTTGCTGTTGGTTGGTTTTACTGGAGATTTTAAACGAACGGCACCTATTATTACCTACAGTTTTACATAAATATGTATGTATGAATGCATTTAGTTCTCCCAATGTGCCGCTTATACTTACATAAAATGCTATAAATTGCGACTAAGCAAAACTACTTTGGAAAAAACAACACCGTACACGTGATAGAAGTAAAACTTCTTAAAAAAGCACATGTGTGCGCCCCACGCCCGGTAGAAATCTTAACGAAAATTTAACTACGAGGCAATCAGCCGAATACAGTTGTTAATTGTATCCAAAGTTCGTACCAAGTTGATAAGTTTTTATCATTCTCATATTTTTTTTTAATTCTTTCGAATATAAAGGATATGATCATTCTTTTCGCTTTATTCCCTATTCGAAAAACTATAGGGGTATTCTCCAAATCTTGCAAAGCCATTGCACGTAGCACGGATTGCATGGATTGCATAACTTGCAAACACACAACAACAAAATACATGAGAAACAACATTTCCTATCGCTGCAAAATATGCAACGTCGAAACCCAAGAATGATAGAATACAAGATTGCGCCGATCAGAGAGGATTTTTGAGAATAACTTTGGTGTGACGTCACACTGGTGCAATTGCGAGTGAGAAATGCCAAAACGTGAGCAAGAATGGAAGAAGAAGAAAAAATGTTGCATGGAAAACGTAAACAAGTTGCACCAGTGTGACGTCATGCAAACAACGATTCTGTCAAATTCGTTAAGAGAGGAATAGCGGTCCGAGATCGGCGCAACCTTTGTATTCTCTCAATCGTGGTCGAAACCCATGTATATATTTTGCAAAATAGCATAGCAAAATAAATGCGACCCTGTGCTAGTTGTTTTGTTATTGGAATTGCTGCATATTTCTCTCATTCCTCTCATCTCGCTCACTTCATTTTTTTTTGCTGTTTCTTGTTATTGTAGTTGATACATAATTTCGCTCCTTGCTACCCATGCATGCTACCACTTTGCAATAGGGTGCTCTCATACTCTTCGAAATTTGGAATACTATTTTTGCATTTCGTGCAATCCGTGCATCGTACAAGACTTCGAGAATACCCCTTATATGTTTCAATGGACACATCGATTTTTTTTTATCAAAAAGGTAAACGAACGTGCAGCGAGCACCGTGTGTATAAACTGTTCCTAGTAAGAAGTTACAGGATTTAGTCCGGAGTTTTTTTCCTGTAAGTTCATGAAAAGCGTAAAACGATCAGCTGATTTGCATGTGCAAACAACAACAGAAAGCGGTGAAAGCAAATAACCTTATATTTAAAAAAAAAAATGGAAGTAAACAACGAAATATTTGAATATGTATAGATTTTAATAATTAGTTAGTGATATTTCAGCTAAATCAGTGTTGTTCAAATGACATGTTAACAAATCGACTGACGTTTTTACAGGAAATAGTGCTTTTTGCGTTCCCGTGCACTTCTGCATCTGTTTTTCTTTTATTCTCACTTGAGAGAGTAAAATTGTAGTTTGACAGTTCCACAGGTTTTAGTTCGAAGTTCAAAGCAACAGACTACTTGTAACTTCTGACTAGGAACAGATGCTCAGTTACTCTCTCAAAAGTGTTCCCACTTACAAGCTGGCTTGGCCATGTCATTCGAATGGACACCGACGCTCCAGCTCTGAAAGTATTCAACTCGGAACCCGCTGGTGATAGCAGAGGAAGAGGGAGGCCCCCATTGCGATGGAAAGATCAGGTGGAGAAGAACTTGGCTCGACGGGCGTGCTTTGCTGAACTCGGCCAAAATCGCTTAGGCGGTTATCAGTGACACATTGTGGTAGATCTGCCACTTTTTTGAGCATCTACCACTCAAGGTCTGAAATCTACCACATATTCGCGTTTTTGCGTAGTTTTTTTTTGCTCGACGTAATTTACTTAATTTTAAGAGCAAAAATTCTCCAACACTAAACACTATATGGTAACAAGAATGATATAATACAAGATTCCGCATTCCCGGCGACGATAAAATTTCTCAAGTAAAAGTAAACAAAGCCGAATGGGAGGATAAAATAAACTGTAAAATAGTAAATTTTCTCAGTAATAATCTTTTTCGACAGAAAACGTAGTGTGTTAAATTGCCAAATATATGATTTATAAAAAGAATTAATATCGAAAATGTTAAAAACGACGTTTTTTGTGAAAGTATTAGCAAATTTAAGTGCATCTAAAGTTTCTGAGGCGTTGTTTACTTTTGTCATGAGAATTATCAAAATCAGCAAATCCCAATTAGCTGTTTCTGGAACGTGCCACATTTGTTCGGTGANATTAGCAAATTTAAGTGCATCTAAAGTTTCTGAGGCGTTGTTTACTTTTGTCATGAGAATTATCAAAATCAGCAAATCCCAATTAGCTGTTTCTGGAACGTGCCACATTTGTTCGGTGATTCATGATGTGATAAAAAGAAAAGCTGGCAGCACTCCACAAGGTTGCAGAAATTTCTTAATATATGTTCGAAAAATATCTTGAAATGGAAGGAACTGCTCTACTCTGTCAAGGAAAAAAATTAAAATTATTTTTTTTGAATCTAATTAAAAAGATTGCAATTTAGGTGAAATCTTGCAGAATTTTTTTAATTTTTGTACAAAGTTTGATCCAAACCAGAGATCTACCACATTTTTTTGAAATCTTACACATTTTTTTCCAGCTTCTACCACACAGAATTTTTTTAAAGTCCGATCGCTGGCGGTTACAACGCCAAATAAGAAGAAGAAGGAATATGACGTATTGCGAAAGGATTTACCGTCATTCTTTGACAATACGCCATAATTCTTTTTTCAAATGTGTTTTTTAGACCTTAGCGGTTAATCCTCGGGACCACATATATCTTCATTAAAAGCTATAGCTATGCAAAAATATTTTTAAAGATAAGACCCCCTATTCTAGCAAAGTCACAAAACTCAGGGCATCACTATTGTGATTTCTGCTGCGCCTGAAAATATGCCACAAAAAAACAGATTTTAAGTNCAAAACTCAGGGCATCACTATTGTGATTTCTGCTGCGCCTGAAAATATGCCACAAAAAAACAGTGGCTAATGAAATGCACTAAAATTTTAAATTGCATTTTGTGGGTGCATGTTTGCTTGAGCGGCATACTTTGGGGCGCAGTATAAATCACTATAGTGATGTACTGAATTTTGTGACTTTAGTTGCGTTCTAGCAGCAGTACGATTTGCAGGTTTTGCAGGATTTAGTCCGATAAGCGTTCCAGCAGACAAATTTCCTGTGATTTCCAGTAACTGAGAGTAATTTCGTGAGAGTAAAATATGCTCACTCTCAGTATGAAGTTGCAGNCGATAAGCGTTCCAGCAGACAAATTTCCTGTGATTTCCAGTAACTGAGAGCAATTTCGTGAGAGTAAAATATGCTCACTCTCAGTATGAAGTTGCAGATTTAGTCCAGCGGTCAGTTTGCCACACATGGACTCTTCCAACCAAAACTGGTAGGTTTAATCGATAATAATCGATTAATTTTATCAAATGATAAATCGTTGCCATACCTATACGATTGCATTTGTTACTAAAATTTATAAACGCTGTAGAAATGATTTGTCGGTTGTGCCTACGCACCTTAGTTCCAGAAGGCGCTATCTGCTTATTCGACTATTCTAAAAAGGAAGCCAAATTTGTTAAATTAATAGCGAAATATTTCCTTCTAGAGGTAAACTAACCAATTACAAGCCAGCTCATATACATATATGTATATATACATCTACTGCACCGATTGATTTTAGATAACGCAAGATGACCCGATATCAACTCAGCTGTGTGAAGATTGCTCGGATCACTTGGAGGAATTCCACAAATTTTGGTTATATGTAGATATGAAACAAAGTTCGTTGGGTAGTGAATTCCTAGCAGTTAAATGTAGTGGGATTAAGGAAGACACAACGACCGTCATTGATGTCAGTAGAGAGACGGTGGATAATCAAGAAGAAATATTGCTTGATATAAAAGATATACCTGCGCCAGAAGCTTACGAATGCAGCTTTGACTCTACGCTGCCGCAGGAAAACATTAGTGTTGCACCAGATATCAAATTAGACAATGATTCCTGTGATGAGTTACAACTCGATAATGACTGGGCCGATGTCAACGAATCAATTGATGGTACTGGACGCTCTTTCTTATGCCCTCGACAAGTAAATATTTACATTTCGTTTCCAATTTTAGATGATATTCCTTTGTTAAGTTTAAAGGATAAATTACAAAAGAAAGCTCCAAAGGTAGTCAAAAGTGCTGAGAAAAGCTATGTTCGGATTAAGAAAATTAGAAAAAAACGTAAGAAAAGCCATACATCAAGCGAAAAATGTGGACCGAGAACGGAAAAAGCAAAACAAAACGAAGATATTATTGCAAATAGCATGTTGTTGAGTTGTGATCTTTGTAAAGAGAGTTTTCCAAACTACACCGAATTGCGTTTTCATTTTGCACAAGCACATAACAGAGCTGCATACGTAAAATGCTGTGGTAGAACTTACCGTAAGCCAAATTTATTAGCGGAACACGTCGAATGGCATACCAATCCTAGCAAATTCAAGTAAAACCAATTCACCGTATAACAAAATGCTTGTATTCACTATAATCTTTTCAGATGTGACATATGTGGTAAACAGTTGAAGTCCAGTAAGTGTTTGGCTAGTCACCTTAAAATGATTCATTCCAAAAAAGAGGAAGCAATTGAAACTATTAGCTGTCCTATATGTTCGAAGGGTTTTCGAGGGCAGAAATGTCTGGACAATCACTTAAAACGGCACAATGATGTCAAAGAATATCCTTGCGAAATATGTAATAAAAGGTAAATATGTAAAAAAAAAGTTTCCGGACCTCCGATAAGTCGTGAGATGTTGTTGAGATTGGTTTAAATTTAGAGCGCTACGGGCGCTATGCCGCATTTTTGAAATGGAAAGTTAAAAAAATCGGGTTTTCTAATTTCAAATTCAAAAAAAAATTAAGGTCCTTATAATGAGTTGCGAGTGTCGACTAGTAGTAGATAAACGACTGTTAGTCGATATCGATTATCCGTGGTATTTTCAAAGGTTGTTTTCTCGTTCAATAAGTGCGTGTTAATAGTCTATAGTCGCTCATTCTTCTACAAACAAACAGTTGTAGAAATCATATGGCATATTTGGAGAAATTTTATTAAAAATATGTGAAAAAATGATGTGGCAGCATGATTCTGTCAAGGCTCTCTTTATGTTTAACCTGAAATCAAAAATCTGTAGTTCTCCAAGTTTCTAAGGTCGGTGTTATGCAGACAAACTTTTGTTTGCCAAATTAAATGGCGGCTGCTGAGTTTGCTCGGAGGTGGTTATGTCGAGTTTGGCACATTGTTGCACGTTCATTATGGTTTTCATCGCTATGGCCAACACGAAATGAAAATTTCAGATGTACATAACGCGCACAATTAATATATTTTTTATTTCAATCTATGAATAGCGCAAGTCGGAGGTAGAAGCTCTGGTTAAATACAACGACTGCTTTATCGATCACATGTTCTATGCATGATGTCGAAATCGTCGATAATGATGTTTAACCGGCAAGTAGTGATAACCAGACATTGAACAACCGGCCCTTAGGCCGGTCGACGTCTTCTNATGATGTTTAACCGGCAAGTAGTGATAACCAGACATTGAACAACCGGCCCGTAGGCCGGTCGACGTCGTCTACTCCATGCATACAACAGGGAGTCGGTAACGTCGATAACTATGTTTAACCGGAGATTAGTGTTAACCAGACATTGAGTAACCGGCCCTTAGTATGTTATCTTCCAACTGCTGGAAGTGATCATCAGGTGTGTCCAACGTTGCTCCACTGATACACGTATGGTAATACCGCTGAGGGCCAGAACCACATGCGAAAGTTTCTGCTATGCTTACGTCTTATTGGTTTCAATTCTTTATTTGTTATTCAATGTTTTATCATTTTAAATTGTATATTATGATTTTTTTGGTTGTAGACCTTAGTGGTCCACATGTAATCAGGTTATTCCTCTAATTAAATTATTAGTTTTATGTCAGATTGTATTAATTCTGTTTGTGTTTAAATGGCCGGGAACTAAGTCATGGTATGGTCAGGTATTCCTCCAATTTAATAATTATCCGTCAGATTATATTTATTAAATTTTAATTTTATGTGTAATTTTATTTTATAGAGATTGGGCGGAAGCATAAATACTATGCAAATGCTTTTTCTTAAAATTTCNATTTATTAAATTTTAATTTTATGTGTAATTTTATTTTATAGAGATTGGGCCGTATGCATAAATACTATGCAAATGCTTTTTCTTAAAATTTAATATCTTTCACTTAAATTTATTTGCACAAATCGAGTAAAAGGTCTGAAATTTTAAGGAAAAAGCATTTGCTTAGTTTTTATACATACGGCCCATTGTCTTTAGTTCATTTAAACTTTAAATGTTATATTTAATGGAACGACTTAATTTTTTATAATTATTTCAATCTAAATTGTTTATGTTAAATCACGATTTTATTATTTCTTTTGCGAATAACGATTACTTGAACCTCATGGCTGAGGAGCCATTTTGCGACTAATAGCTCTGATCCAGTACTCCATGGACTTAAGGGATTTTACACGAACTTGCAGGGAAGTTGCAGGAAAAATGTTCCCGTACTCCAAAATCCTCCAAAATCCTGTAAATGAGAGCGACTTTTGGAGAGTTGTTTAGAGAATGAACTTGCAGGATTTTACCCGAACTTTTTCTTCTGGTAAAATCATGAACAGTGTCAAGCAATTACTGGTTGACGTTTTTGTTCCCGTACTTTTTGTTGTTACTCACTTTTTACTCTCACTTCAGAGAGTAATGTTGCTATTAGCTCTGATCCAATACTTTTCGTGAAAAATCCTGTAAAACTGTCAAAC